TCAGCTGATAGAGGATCTGTAGCAGGACAAAGTCCTTCACATCTCGGCGATCAGAAGATAGTACCAGCTTCAAGAGCAGGTCCTCCACATTGCGTCTGGTGGGGCCTCCTTTGGGGGGAGCTATACTGCTGGAACCCCCCGCCTCGGGTTTGTCAAAGAACCTGGACCAAATCCTATTTTTCCTGTCCCGATTGTGGTCAACATGAAGCCCCTCATTGGAGAACCATGTATGCTCCATTACCCACTCAAGGTTGAATGAGCATGGGATCTCTTCTCCATCATTCCTATCGGTGAAGACGAATTTTTTGCTCTTCTTGTCCCACTGACTCAAAATGTGCTCAAAGGTGGGAAGATCGACGCCAGGTGGGCCAAATTGGACGTAGTGTCTGAATACACTATCTTCGTAGGCCGCAAAATGCCTTGGCCCCATACGCGTCACCAAATTCTGCATGAAGTCGTGATAGGCACCGAAGCTGGCGGTGGGCCGCAACGTAATAGCTGGCTTTGCCCTTTTTCTACAAAACAAAAACACAAGACGAGAGCATTTTTGAGTATAATCAGTAAACATAACAGCTATGCTGTAAACTTTACGGGTAAACCAACAATCTTAACAGCAACCACATAACCTTAACAACAAAAACTAACCTTAACAACCAAAGCCTAACCTCAACAACTAAACAACAACCTTAACAATAAAGGCAGTAACCAACAACCTTAACAACAACCCCACAACCTTATCAACCAAAACCTAACCTTAACAACCAAAGCCTAACCTCTACAAATAAACAACAACCTCAGCAATAAAAGCATAGACCTTGCATGTTAACAGTAACCTCAACAGCTAACAGACACCGTAATTTTGGACCTTCCCACCAGACTAAGAGCATTATCAATCAAACCGTAACCTTAACAACATAAAACTTGCGGTAAAAATTACCTTTTGGGTGCTGCCACGTGCTTCTCTTCTTCTCCTCTCTGTAGACCAAGGAGCGCTCTAGTGGCATCGTTGGACGCGCCGGTGGTGCCGGTGCTGCCCTCTAGACCTTCGCGTGGGCCTACACTTAAATTTTGAGGCGGGCTTCTGGGATGAGAATGGCTGGTTGCGATGTCCTCTAGAACATCACCAATCGCAGCCCGAGCTTCAGATTCAGCCCGCACTGCAGTTGTCTGGGCTCTTTCTGAGATTTCGAACCGCTGGGCGTAATCGCTTTCGCTGTGGTCGGCATTGAGGTTGGCTTTGGGGGTTGAATCGCCGGCCATTTTGATCCCTTTGCTTTGATTCGGTTTGAGTTGGGGTCGGTTGATTTAGGGCTAGGGTTTTGAATTGGGTTTCTGGAGTCGGTTTGCTTGCAGAAGAGAGAGATGACAGGGTACGGACGAGGAGGTAACTCATAACGGGGAATTTTAAACGTAAGGGTATTTTGGGCATTTCGAGCGGGGTTTAAACGGCGTTACGCCTGAGGATTCGTTTTGGGGGCTGGAAGAAAATCGGGGGCGGTTTTGGGGGTAAAAGGAACGTTGAAAAGGTCTTGGGGGGACAGAGCATGTTTTGGGTTGTTTTGGGGGCTGGAAGCAATTTTCCCTATATTATATGCTCTCGCTCGTGTCTACTCCGAAATACCCGAATTTTTATGGATTATATGTAGAAACGGCAAAAACATTGGAGTAGAACATGATTTTTGGTTCAGACAGAACTTTGGGTGCTTGCCGGTTGACCGCGAGCTTTGGGGCGGTCGACCGCGAGATTTGGGGCGGTCGACCGGAAATGTGCACAACCTCAGGGAGTTTTCTGGACTTGGTGACGATCGACCGCGACGATTTTGGTGGTCGACCGCCAAACCCTGTAATTGATATTGGGTTTCTTTCTTTCTGGTCAGTCGACCGCGACGACTTCTGCGGTCGACCGCCAGTCGGGTCAGGCACAGTTTTGGTTTTCTTGTTCTGTTTGGGATTATTGTTTGGTATAAATACAAACACGTTTTAGGGTTTCTGTGGAGCAGTTGAAAGGGTTGTTTTGAGAACAGAAAAAAGAGTTTTTTCTGAGCTATTGGTTTAGGGTTTTGTTTGAGAGATTAGAGAGATTTGTTTGAGAGATTTGAGTGATTTTGTAATCTTTATTTGTACTCTCTCTTCTCTATTAGTGAAAACATATCTCCTTCTTGCCCCGTGGACGTAGGCAACTTGTCGAACCACGTAAAATTCGTTTGTTTGTGTTCGTGTCGTTTTTTGGATTGTATTTGGCTTTCTCTCTCGGCATTTGTGTGATTTCCTCGGAGCCCAACAAGTGGTTTCAGCACATCAAGTGGTATCAAAGCACAACATTATAGCCTATGGTTTTGATCGTTTTCAATCAAATTGCAAGATGTTTTCTCGCACATAATATTTTATGCAATACTTTTCATGAATTTTTGTGAATTATAACGGTTGATTGTGGTCGTTCTTAAACAAATCCCAAATTTATGTATAATTAAATTTTTAGAATTCCTGTAGACTATGACCGATGGTATTGGTCGTTTTTCCCAAATCACAAGTTATCGTCCCACTTAAAATATTTTATTCGTACTCAAAAAATCTTTGTGAACTATATAACTTATGATTTTGGTTGTTTTCAATCAAATCACACATTTATGTTCCACATATAATAGTTTATATGTGCTTTGAAATTTTTGAATTTATGTATACTTAACGTATGATTTTGCTAGTTTTTGACCAAATTACAATTTGCCATCACATATATAATTTTTTATGCATATTTCCTACTTACCAAATTTCTACGGAATGTAACCCATGATTTTGATTGTTAAGACTAAATCACAAGTTTTCGTTCATCATAGTATATTTTTATGCATACTCAGAAATTACCAAATTTCTATGGACTAATCCACGATTTGGGACATTTTTTATCAAATCACAAAATGTCATCCCACATGGAATATCTTATGAGGATTCTAAATTTTTGAATTTTATTGGACTATGACTCATGATTTTGGTCGTTTTTTTGCCCTACTCACAAATTGCCTCCAGCATAAAATATTTTTTTATGCCTAATCAAGAATTTTTTAGTATCTATGGACTGTAACTAGTTCTTCTTGACAAAATCACAAGTTGTTGTCCTGCATAAAATATTTAATGTGAACTCAAATACTCCCAAGTTTATGTAGACTATACCATATGATTTTGGATGTTTTCAACAAATCACAAATGTCTGCCTGCGTAAAGAAAATTTTATTTGTACTCTACAACCAGTTTGTTTTCATCGAAAGTTTGCTTCATTGTGGAATTCATTATATCTTCGATCGATTACAATAAATTCAAAAGAAATAGCCTTTTTATAAGACTTCTCTTACACAACAAAAAAAAAATTACAACTCTCTAGAAAATAACACAGAAATCGTTTATGGACTTCTGCTTTTGTGGGACTTTGCCTGTGCTGGGAGTGCGTTAACTCGTGGACCACCGATTCACAAGATTCTGATTGAATTGTGAAAGCTTTGGGGATTCTTTCTTCGTTTATCAAAGTTAGAATTTGAAGCGAATATCTTATCGATGTAAGATGTTCACTCTTCCAAAGATTAAGTCAAGGCTTAAATCTCTAGGAATTAACGAAAGCTTCTTGAAAGTGTTTTTGAGGAATCAAGACTCTCTCTCTTTTCCCAAATTCGCCAAATGCCCAAGCTTATCTGTTCTAATTACCTTGGATCTGCTCCCCTCTTTTTTCTGTGTATATGGAGGTATTTATAGTGATAAAGGTGCATAACTGCTGAAATTATTTTGATCATTTTCGACAAAATTACAAGCTGTCATATCTCACGTAGAATATTTCATGCGTACTCCAGATTTCCCCAACTTCTGTAAGCTATAACCCATGTTTTTAGTTTTCCCCGGCAAAATCATAACTTGCTATCCGGCAGGAGAATACTTCGTGTATACTCCAAACTTCTAACTGTGAACTACGACTCAGGATTATGCCTGTTTTCAACCAAATCACAAAATTGTCATCTCCCCGCGTAAAGTAATTTACTTTTGAGTCTTTGTTTGTTATGTCGCTCTCCGGTTTGCTCCAACGGATCCAGGTTCCATGCCCTGCCCTGTTTTATTCATCTTTTTTCAGGTCCAGTGCACCGCAGCGAAAGTTAGGCCCGAGTGCAAAGTGGGCAAATGTGATCATTTTCTGACCGGTAGTGGACACCACACTCATTGGTATCTTACCCTCTTGGGCTTGTTACGTGCGTAGTGCTCAGATTTCAATGCTTTGATGTACACTGTTGTACTTTGCACTTTCTTTGGAGGCATACGATACGTGCCCAGAACACTACTGGACACCTATACATTTGGATTTAATTCAATAAAAAAGAATTCGCTGTGGATAATGCTGCATTCTATATATATGCTTTTTACACAC